TCATATGTCCATTTCCTGATTTCAGAAAGAAAAAAATTAGAATACCATCTGATTGCTCTACCATGCCATGTTCATTATTATCTGGACTAGTCAATATGTTTAAATAATATGTAGATTTAGCTAGGGCTAAAAGCGAAGCTCTCGTTAATATACTGACTTATAATTTTATCCGTACGGTCCAAAGACATACGGAGCGTTCATCTCATTATTGCATCAGGGCACAATGCCTTACGGTTCGTTCGATCCGTACAGTCCGTAGACATACGGAGCGTGCATCTTGTTATTACATCAAGGCACAGTGCGATGCGGTTCGTTCCATCCTTACGATCCGCACGGCAAGAGAGACGCACTCCAACTGTAATTTTCCTCGTTCTATAAACCATAAACCAAGAAAGGCGCACTCCAAATGTAATATTCCTCGTTCTATAAACCATAAAGCAACACAAGCGCAAAAACCAAGAAAGGCACACTCCAAATGTAATATTCGTCGTTCTATGAACCATAAACCAACACAAGCGCAAAAACCAAGAAAGGCGCACTCCAAGTGTAATATTCCTCGTTCTATAAACCACAAACCAACACAAGCGCAAAAACCAAGAAAGGCACACTCAAAATGTAATATTCCTCGTTCTATAAACCATAAACTAACACAAGCGCAAAGCCACACATTCCTCGTTCTATAAACGATATACCAACACAAGCGCAAAACCATACATTCCTCTATAAACCATAAACCAACACAAGCGCAAAAACCAAGAAAGGCACACTCCAAATGTAATTTTCCTTCTTCTGTAAATCAAAACAACCCAAAAACCACGGTAGGCACGCTCTAGGTTTTATGCTTGTGTCTAGATGTGATGTTCTTGTAAGTCAAAAACCAAAAGAAGCGCGCTTCAAATCGAAGAACAATCGTCAACAAGTTTATAATTAATATAAGCACGCACCGAATGTAAAGGCAAGATAAGCAGGCACCAAAAATGTAATATTCAAATGTAGTATTTCTTTATGTAACCAAGATAAGCATGCTCTAAATAAATTTAATGTTGCTTCTCTATACGCCAAAAACAAAAGCAAGCGCACTTTAAATGCAAATGTTCTTCGCTTGCTTTTCTTATTACGTTTGCTGCACAAAACAAATGTAATATTCATTATAAAACTGCTCCTCGTTCTAATATCACAAACGAGGGAACGCGCGCTTCAAATGTAACAATCGCCTCGTTTTATATAAGCTGTCAAATTTTTCGCAATAAGCACGCAATACTTTGTATAACCATGATAAACATGCTCTATATCAATTTAAGCTTCCTCTTTCTATACGCCAAAAACAAAAGCAAGCCCACTTTAAACGTAACTTTTCTACGGCAAAACTGTAAGAACAATCGTCTGCAGTTTATAAAATAGGAATGTTGATGCGAACATATTTTCACAACGAAGTGTAGTCGTCAAATACTACTTAAAAAGTACTCTTATTGGTTAGAGACTTTTATTCTTTTGGTGGCTCCTAAAAGAGCCTTTTTTTGTGTCCTCAGTGCAGTGCAGGGTTTTTCCTTCTTTTATGATTTTTCTTGGATTTTCTAGGTTTGTCTGCTGCGTCTTGTTGGTGTTGTGATTACTGTTTCGGTAGTCCATTTAAATACAAAAGTTTGTTGTGGTCTACGTCAAAGTAGAACTTCTGCCTTTGACAGGTATCTGATGGTCTCTCTATATTCGCCCACCCAAGACATCTTCCCACAATAGTAGAGTTATGGTTTCTCAGTATTATTCAACAGTGGGAAAATGGTTGTTTGAGACCACGCGTTAATCTATATGTGTGATAGTAGCAACCAATCACCATCGACTGTTTACTAACTTTAAGCACTTAATTTTGTCACACCTTTCTGTTTCATTATAATTTTTTCACATCTCATTTTTAATATATCATCGGGGCATTTATTATTCACATTTTATTTTTTCTCACATCTTCTCTTATTATTGTTACGCAGCATTTTGCTGCGCACAATCTGGCTAGCAAAACGTCATTTTCAACGTGAAATCGGCGGATCAAAAAAAACTCTCATCTCCTACTGGCCCTTACCATCATAATTTTGTTTCTTGTTTACGATCACTGACTTCTCAAATTTGTAAATAATTCCAAAGATTGACCTACCCGAAACACAAGTGTCTCCACAGACACATACATTTGGTACGTCACTTATCTGCCAGTCACATCTTAGATTAACTGAATATTTAAATTCTCTCTTGTTGAGATTTAAGTCCATTTCCTTTACCGGGATGACAATTAGCCAACTTGAAACACTTCGCTGCTGCGAGATCGACCGCCCTCTTGGTCTTCTCGGGTAGGGAATTCCGCAGGCCTTCTAATTTATCGTCCAGTCTCACATGTCTCTCTCTCTACGCGTGGTTAACTGCAAAGATCTTACCAGAGCATCATCTGGAGGTTCATGCGCCTGGGATACGATTTTCGCAACAAGAGGGGCATTGCTTGTTCGAATCCAGCTCGCTCAACTGGGTTTTCTAGTCGCAGTCCTCCTTCCTCACTAGTAGTGTCAGCAGTTGTCGCTCACTCATTGTGCATGTATGGCCCGTAATTGATGGTATTTAGGTATCACTAATAGCGCGTTCCAATGGTTCTAGCAGCTCCTCAATATCAGATAATGTGCTTAGGTAGTACATCCATTTGTGCTTCAAAAAGCGAAGGTATATGAAGCATAGCAGTCTTGTGGTTGGGTTACTGCAAACTCTGCCAGTTTCACTACCTGGCCAACCCAGTCATCCACCTTTTAACTTAATAATAATAATAATAATAATAATAATAATAATAATAATAATTGTTGCGTAAACTAAAGAGAAATTTTTGGCGTGTAAGGAGAGCCTAGAAGAAGCTAGGAAGCTTAACCAGAAATTTTATGCAGATCCTGGAAGTATATACGCCACTTTTGGAAAAATGTTAGAAAGCCAGGCGGATATTGACAAACCAAAGTACGACAGAGTAACGCAAGGGACACAGGTCAATAACCATACGTTCACCAACATTGATGAAGCGAGTAGTTTTTGGAGAAGTCTATGGGAAGAAAAGGAGAGCGGAGACACGGAAGCAGAATGGATCGAGGAGGTTAGTAGTACCGGAAGTACCGACTGATGGCTGGAATTTGAATGCTGAACAAGTTACCAAGATCATCAAGAGAAAAAAAAAACTGGAGCGCACCTTCGACCGTATTGCTAATTTCTGGTGGAAGAAGGCAACTATCTTGCATAAAGAAATAGCCTCTTGTTTCCAGGCCACTGCTCAACTTGAAGATCTTCAGTTTCCCTTATGGTTTTCGGAAGGCAAGACAACTCTGATCCCCAAGCCTGGTGAGTTCAGAGGTGACAACCAACGCCCTATCACCCGCCTGAATAACCTATATAAGTGGTACACCTCATGCCTGTTAGCCCAGGCTAACCAACACATCGAAACTTATGGATTAATACAACGCGAGCAGCGTGGTGCAAGGGGTAACTGCAGTGGAACGGTTGTACACTTATTGACATCTATACTTAACGAAAAAGAAATACTAAGCCTGAATAAAATACATTTAACAGTCAAAATAAAGACAATATTTTGCTGACTCAAGCACAATAAAAAGGAGCTAAATGCTGAAAACGTTTCGAGACAATAAATTTAAAAGGCCCTTTGCAGCTAGCTAATCATTTACGTTGTCCATAACTGCCATGCTGGAGATAAGTCGCACTGGGACACGGCAAATAAAAGGCTGACACCTTGTTCTCCGCGCATATGAAACTTGAAAACAATGCCAGTGAATAATGAGGGATGCTCACTTGTAAACACAAAATCTGGGGAAAAGTTTTTGACATTTGAAGCCGCATTTAATCACCTTCCTTATTTTTACTGTCCTTGAAACTTTACGGAGATGTAAATTGATGATTACTCTCGGGATTATCAAGTTTTAAAAAAAAATTATCGAGCGGTTTTTAAAAATAACTGTGAAATTTGTAGGCGTGGACCAAATTACAAACAAAAATAGTAAAGAAAAGCAGCCGAATGTAGGCTAATCAAATTCTTCTTTCTCACAATCAGCCAAAGCAATCCCCCTCTTCTTTCGTACAAAGTTTCAGATGGAATCAAACCACTATGAGACGAGACTGCATTTCCAGACCTCATTATTTTCTTTAGATATTAGCTAATTATGTCTATAGCATGTTACTTTATTTTGTTTTTATGACCTTTAAAAGTTTGTTTCAAAATATTTCCAAAACGCTCTCATAAAATTTGTTCAAATTTTACCGAGGCAACTAAGGGAGGTACAAGTTCCCTTAAGCTATTTGTGAAAAAAAAAAACACCTATTCCCGAGAAATACAAAGGCAAGTAAAACACGTAATGGCGTCATTATGTTGCCATGGTAACTTTGATGTCAAAAAAACATGGATCATAACAAATTTTCATCTTTATCCAGTGCAGCTGTGGTAAACTTTTTGCGTTATCTTTGTTAATACCGACGTGGTAAACGCTAAAAGTGGGGAAGTATACTCCCTAAAAAATGCACTCGAGTCACCTTAGTTCACGAAGAACACGGGATGCCTTAACAAAATGACCGCCATCTTCTTGGATTTTACTACAAATCCAAATTTATCAACAGTATTGTAGAACAAATTTAGACACTTAAAGAATCTTAATTAATAATGATTTGGAGAAACATAAACATGTAAAAACTAGCGAATCAAAGTTCCGACGTTTCGGCGACATCATGACGTTATCGAGGAATAGAAATAAAAGCGAGCTCAAAAGAATTAAAGTACTCTAAAATTGCATGAATGGACACAGCTAGACAAAGACTTTAGTACGGCTTGAATCCATTCCTTGATAACGGTGTCATGATGTTGCCGAAAAGTCGGAACATTATTTCATTGTTTTTTTGGTTTTGTTTTATTTTGTTTTTTCTTTTTTACATCTTTTTGTAAAAAGAATCTTAAAACCATTATTGACATAACCACAAAAAAGTAGTACCACCCAATGAGTAAGAATCTGACAATTACCGAGACACGCTTGACCATTTCCAAAGTACCCAGGACTGCAGGTGCAGTTGTATGATCCCATGTTATTGTGACACATCGCATTCGTATCACATGAGTAGATGCTTGTTTCACACTCATCAATATCTGGCCCAAAATAAATACGTTTTAGTGAATCGTTGTTTCGATAACCACATAAGCATTTAATACAGTATATTCATTAACTTATGCATTTATAATAATAATATAATAATAAAGAGGATGAGGATGAGGATGATGATAAACTAAACACAACCAACAAGACAGTTACGGATTATCAAAATTCACGTTGGCCCCGAGGTTGAGAGGAATAAATTCAGAACCACTTCAAACACTCTCGAAAGGGTTGGACGATCCTTATCAGTCTAGTATTTACACTAGAATAAGTCGGGGGGTTTTGGGGGGAAGTGGAAATTGTATTAATTGAAACCTGTCGTAATGTTAAACTGGGGGAAGTTGAATGTTAACTTTTTGCTTCACAGGCCTCTTTTATTTTTGCTTGAAGGAATGAATTGCTATTAACCCCTATTAGTTTGAGCAGGCAGGAAGTGTGGTTCACAAAGGATAACTTTTGCTAAAGCAAAAGTCCTGCTTTCGCAGAAATTTCATTCTTTACTACATTTGATTCGATATTCACCAGCGCATGTTTTTCCATTTCCGGTATATCCAGGTCTGCAAGTACAAATGTGTGATCCGATGGTATTTTCACACTCTGCGTGGATGGCGCATGAATGGGTATTACTTGTACACTCGTCAACGTCTAAACAATAACAGAATAAAAATACACTGACGTTAGGTAGTTGCTTTCACAACTTGAATACTTTAGTTAGACTGTATATTTAGATAAAAACCTCAATTGTCTAAAAGATCATTAAAATAAACACACCCATAAGGAAATAAACCAAGCCGACATAGATCAACCGATAGACGAATATGAAAGACGAATATGCAGACAGGTGGGTGTGGTCAGACAGATGGAAAAACAGTCTGTCCCACACACAACAGAATATAAGTGAACTGTATAGCACATTAATTACTCAGTACGACCCTAATAGGGATGTTAGTAATGTTATAATGATTACCAGTGCATATTTTTCCATTTCCAGCGTATCCGTGATTGCAGATGCAGATGTTGGACCCCTCCATAGTTTTACAAACAGCATTTCTGTTACACAACTGAGGGTTTGTTGCACAGTCTTCAACATTTAACTCTGAAATAAAAGAAAAAAAGACAAAGCATATAAACATGCACGGACACATACTATCCCGCGCCGGCAGCAAATTCACATTTCACTTCTTTTCACTCAACTTCATTGTTCGTTAACTGCTTTAGAATTTTAGCTCAGGTGAATGCAATAGAGGTCTCGCCCCTACAGAAGGTAGAGATGGTAGTGATGGTATGAAAGCAATAAGTTACAATTTCGAAGTTGGTTAAAAAAAAAAGATTTCTACTCTGAAATGTATCACACAATCAGTTACTCACAGCTTATCATGATAAAGCTCGTTATACTCTTCTAACCCTATCCCCCCGCGTACGTTACCTCAAATTATACACGATAGTCACGTTTTTCTCTTTAAAGCCCAGTACTGGAAAAGTTGAAAATTTACAGGCACATGCAAATTTATGCTTACAATATGTAAATCGCAATTTTCGTGTTTTGTAAATTTCAGTTTACATGATGAGGATTTGTAAAATGGAATTTTCATGGAATTTTCAATTTTGTCTCATTATGTAAATTTTCTATAAAATAATAATTCTCTCATAAAACATTTTCTTTTAATTTTTTTTACTTCACAAAAAATTGACACTTTCAAAGCGTTCGTTTTGCGTAGAATGTTTTTTTTAATATTGAAAAGCTAACTTCTTGTGTTTATGCCGTAAACGTTTCTGAAAGGTTCAAAAAATGTGACCGAAAAGTAATACTGTAATAATAATAATAATAGCAATAATAATAATAGTAATAAAAGGTAGATGAAATAATAAATAATGAAGATGATGATGGCAAACAGTTTTTTTTTTTCTGTTTTAATTGATAATGATGAAGGCCTGTTCCGAGTTCCTAGGTGCAAAATCTTTCTTCTGAAAATGAGTTTTATTTGCATGAGAATAAAAACTAATTTTAATATCAATAATTTTAATATCATATCCTTGCATTAAATGACACAAAGGTTTCAGGCAACCCGGAAATGGCCTATTATTCTGCAGCAGTTCAGTTCCGCAGATTATGCTAATTTACTGGAATCATTGATTGCTCACTTGAAAACCAAACTGTTGCAATTTTAAGGCTTGTAAACGCCGACAAAAGACAAAATAATTATCCCATCCATACTGTTCTTACATGGTCCAGAATTTGACAACATAACCTAAGAATAGTATCATACAAAGAGTCTTGAATCATAACTTTAACATGGGGTGTTGAACAGCCTTAACAAAAATTAGACTTGCAAAATCGAAAAACAATAATTCATTAAGAGTACAAATGCCTCTCTATCATACCCCTGCAAAAAGATATTGCATATTGATTTAATTGAGTTAATTTTTCTACATTAAGTCTCACGAGATATATGATCCTAGGAACAGCCGGGTTCAAGAGGAAAGATTTAAAGACCATGCATGCCAAGAATAAACTGCCGAACTTGCATTCTTTCCAGGTGTTAATAAGAAAATTGCATAATTATTCTGAGATCATCTCCGCATACATTTTTATTTCAAAAAGTGCTCCAAACGTTAATGAAGACAAAGTCAGTCATATTTGTAGGTAGTTACTGTACATGCATATTCTTAATTTGTAGAGGGGTTAGCTTGGTCACAAACTAGTGGCGACGAATTGTACCTTCAAAAACGCCACAATCCCGGTCATAATTTGTTGAAACACTTCCGGAAAACACAGCATAAACTTAGTCGTTCATAAATACACTTATTACTTCCCTCCCCTTCTCTCAATGTTGGTTTCACGCGTTTGTTTGGGCAAAAACGTCTTCCAAATCAACATTGAAAGGAAAGGGAAGGAAAAGCTCGCAAGAGTTTCAACAATTTATTATGACCGGGATTGTCTTTGCTGTAGTGAAAGGTGCAATCTCTGAAAACGGACGATTTTAAAAGTGGACGTTGAGAGATGTAACATGAGTTTAGACTTGAGAAATCACAAATTAAAATTGTATTGGGAAAGAAGTATATCGTGCAGCAGAGTTTCAAAGTTGCGAAAAATTACAAGCGGTACAATTTACTGTAATTATCGTCTCTAAAACACTACAGGCTCAGCTATCAGATATACTTTATTAATGTCAGTTACGAAGACATCAAGGGACTTGCATTGAGATCTATTAATAAATCCTGTGTACTTGATCCTCTGCCTGCAGTGGTAATGAAGGAATGTTTCAATTTACTAACTCCTGTGTTGACTAACATAGTGAATACATCTTTATCTACTGGAGTTATGCCTGATGTCTTGAAGATTGCAGCTGTGACACCGACTTTAAAGAAACATAATGCTGATTTCACTAAATATGAAAGTTTTCGACCCATTTCTAATTTGAAGTTTGTGTCCAAGCTTGTGGAAAAAGCGGTATGTGTCCAGCTTACAGACTATATTACATCTAATGGTCTTTCGGAAACGTTTCAATCCGCATACAAGTCATTTCACTCCACTGAAACGGCTCTACTGAGGGTTCAAAATGACATTCTTTGTGCTTTAGATCGTAATGAGTCGGTCATACTGGTACTTTTGGATCTATCGGCGGCGTTTGATACGGTGGACCATACTCTTCTAGTGACAAGGCTGTCTACTTGTTTTGGTTTTCAAGGAACTGTGCTTAAGTGGCTGAAATCATACCTGTCTTCACGTAAGCTGTTTGTTAAAGTTGGGAATAGTCATTCTTCACAACGTGCATTGAAGTGTGGTGTCCCTCAGGGATCAGTTCTGGGCCCTTTGTTGTATTTGTTATACACATCACCTATTGCGGACATAATAAATGATCATGGACTATCATACCATCTATATGCTGACGACACCCAATTATATATTACCTTTAAATCTACCAGCTTGAATGACATCCAACAAGTGAAGTTGAGAGTGGAATGCTGTGTGAGGGACATTGATGAATGGATGATAAGAAACTATCTTAAACTAAACCAAGACAAAACGGACCTTGTAGTCATCAGTTCTAGATTCCATCCTATGCCTGACATCGGTCACATTACTGTTGGTTCTGAGTGCATTGCACCTCGTGACTCTGTTCGTAATTTAGGGGTTCAGTTTGATAGCATATTTAGTTTTGAGGAGCACATTAAGAACATTTGTAAATCATCATTCTATCATTTGAGAAATATTGCTAAAATCCGCAAGTACTTAAGCCAAGATACATGTAAAATCTTAGTCCATGCATTTATCAGTTCGAAACTTGATCACTGTAATTCCTTATTACATGGCCTTCCTAAGTATCTGTTAGCGAGACTACAGGCAGTTCAGAATGCTGCAGCTCGTGTTGTCACATTGACACCGAGGCATGTTCATATAACTCCTATTTTAATTAATCTTCACTGGTTACCAGTTGAGTTTAGAATAACTTTTAAAGTCCTTTTATTGGTATACAAGGCCCTTCATGGCCTTGCACCTTCTTATATTTCTGACCTTTTGAATTTTAAAACATACTCTAGGTCATTGCGTTCTTCATGTAAAGAATACTTAGTGGTTCCAAGAAGCAGATTGAAGACATATGGAGACAGAGCTTTCTCTATTGCAGGACCTAAATTGTGGAACGATTTACCTCTAGAGATTAGGAAATGTGCTTCAGTGGCAACTTTTAAGCAATCCCTTAAAACTTTTTTATTTAAGTTAGCATATAGGTTATGAGATTCCTTTTGTTTTGAGATGTTTTTGATTTATATAGTAGATAACTTAGGCTATATTTGAATTATATTGTATATTGTAGATATTTTATATTTTATATTTTTTATATTTTATTTTGCAATTAGGTAGCGCTTTGGACAATTATTGGATTTTAGCGCTATATAAATAAAATTATTATTATTATTATTATCATTTCGCAAATGATCAGAAGCAAGTGTGTTATATATACTTTTATATGTAAATCTACCATGGTGGAATTTTTAGCTCATAGAGAAGTTTTCTTGTCATATAAAAATCTCAGTAGCTTCTGAGTTGAAATAAAGGAGTCGGCCAAAGTCTATATCAAAAAAGAGTACTGGGGAATGCGTGGAATGCGATGGCGCACGACTATTGAAATTTTAGTCGTTTCAGAGTGCGTGACAAACAAAGGGAGTCTGGTTTCCGTCTGTGCTTAAATTAATGACAGCTCGGCCAATTTCACAATTTTGTCGGTTTCTTTTGTGGACTCCACCTACAGCCGAGAAAAAACCCTGGGAAGTATGTTTAAAAATTTTCAATGGACAACTTCTCAACGGTGAACCACGGTGAACCGTTCGTTTACAAACTGTTCTGTTTACTTTTTAAGAATACGGTTCATAATGGTGAACCGTTGAAATATCCTCAACTACACTTTGTTGAAGGCGGAACGTTAACAGAAAAGACAATATAAAGTGTTTCCATTGCTTTTTCATTTTTTTCATCAGTGGTTGATAGATCTACGCGCTTGCTGGGTGGTAAACTGTCCAAAAGCTTCTTGAATTCACTTCACCACTGTACAGTCGTGCTTTAAGCAGTCTATAAATAACTCAATTACGTGGTCATTTTCTGCGAGGTGGACTGAAACTTAGCAAAGTGTTTTAATAGTAAGCATCTAGTCTGGTTGGTTTTAGGCGACAGTTAAATACACTGTGAATCTGTAGAAACTGTGATACCACAGAGTACAAAAGGTGTGCAATGTTATAAAATATGCCGTACCATCCTCAAAGGTTTCGATAACTACACAAAAATAAAAAAAGGGCTCACCTTTAAAGTTGGATGTTTTGATTAACTCTCTGTGTTAGCAGATTCAGGTAGAAATTGCTCTATGTGGTACTCCTTGCGTCAACATAACTTTCCTTCATTCATACAACCACCAATTATCATATAAGACCACACCCAGATATAAAGACAATTGCAGTATCTGAAAATTTTTGTCCGGTCTGTCTCATATGGTTAGCTTTAATTTGTCCCTCAAAAGTCTCGGATTTCCATGCCACTAACCATTTTACTATCTTGCAAATTACCTCGAACTATATCTCACGCATCCTCATTTAGGTACAAGACTCGCTTCCCATCCTACCTTGTATAGTTCCTTCTTCTGCTCCTTGTTTTGAAACAGCTGGAGTGTTTCGAGGCCACTTTATCGTGATTATGAAAACGAAAGTGACTACCGCCGTCAGGAAAGTTATGACCACAGCGACAACGATCAGGAGCTGCATTCGTTGGATTTTCCGGATATCTTTTCGCAAAGCATTCAACTTCTTTGGTGGCGCTTGTCTTCTGTTTCTGCCATCTTGATTGGTATGTCCAATATTAACTCTTTGTACTGCTACATCAGTCGCAGACTCGTTCTCGACGACGTTTTCATATACTTCATCGACTTTAATTCTTGTTTTGGGTTGCAGCTCGAGGTAGACTTTCTCTGGCCCTGTTGGTGTCAACGTCTTTGGTGGCGCTTGTCTTCTGTTGCTGCCATCTTGATTCGTATTTCCAATATTAACTCTTTGTACTGCTACATCAGTCGCAGACTCGTCCTCGACGACGTTTTCATATACTTGATCGACTTTCATTCTTGTTTTGGGTTCCAGTTCGAGGTAGACTTTCTCTGGCCCTGTTGGTGTCGCATACATGGTGGTCAGCCCAGAGAGTTATTTAATTTAACTCACGTTCAAACGGCTGAACGCTTCCAAAACTAGGAGCAAATTTTAAGCACTTCTTTCATGGTCCAACGCATTTTATCAGCACATGCCTTATAAATAGCTTTTAAAATAAGATATTAGTATGTCTGCTAAAAGAAACGTAATAAGACAATATTTTAGCACGAGGATATCGCGATTAAAACATACAAACGGACAAAGTAAAACAACAAATAAAAAAGAACATGAAGATTTGAAGACTACAATGGCCTCCTGGCTAAAATTTTCTCCAGTAGTTTTTTTGTTTTTTTTTTTCCCTTAAGTTCCTTATTCTAGAGCGATAATGCGATTCAGTTATACGGATTTTACGCGGGATTCCAATTTGTTATGCTTAGTTAGTGATACGCAAGTGGCTTATGAAAGGTTTTATTTAAAGTAGGGGTCCGCTGCAATATCCATCATTGTGGTGTTTAAATAAGTTGATTTGCCGGTTTATAGAAGAATTTCCTATACAACTGAATTAAATGCCAACAAAAAAGTCAATGCTAAATGAAATGTAAGGTAATAATTCATTGATAAAAGTGTAAAGATAAGATGTGGTAAAGTAAAATTGGCAAGCTTAACTTAGTCGAGCAAAAATTAACATAGTGGAAAGTCACTGTTATTCACTGATCATATCAAGCTAATGATCATCAGATTAAGCCACTTTTCCTAAAATCCATCTTGAAAATTATTTCCAGCTGAATGTTTGGAAAAGTGGCTAAATCTGATGAACATCGCTAAACGGTTAAGTACTGTTTCAAAAACGAGCAGAAGTGTATTATCAAGTTTAAAAACTCGAGGCGAAGCCGATAATTTTTAAACCTGATAATACAGGACTGCAAGTTTTTTGAACGGCTTCAAAATCTCTCTCCTTGCACTAATTTCAGATTCGGGGTCATTTTGGTCTAAAAATTGGACGTACATTAATTTATTTTGTTTTTATTTTCTTTATGAATTATTAAATAAACGAGTTTTTGAAGGTAAATTTAAAATACCTTCCGTCCACTTTAACCGGCTAATATATATTCACTTGTACTGCGCAAATTTGGATAGTGCGGATAACGATTGAAAGGCTATCGTGTCAAACTGAATCGAGAAAAATGCATAAAGATGGCTGATCACTTGATTTAAAATATAAAGAAAACAGCCGGAAAATGATTGGCTTGGGAAGAAGTAAAGTTTAGTTTGTTTATACTACGAGGCTCTAGTGTCATTTTATGCTCTATCAGTACGGCAGTTCTTATCTGGGTAAAATTTTTGCGTAGAACTTATCTGACCATCACTATTACTCGTCACGTATGTGTCACCGATGTGTCATGGGTGCTTGACATTATATTCACGCGATTTATCCACGACAAGTCATCTGTTGTCTTTATATGAAAAATCCACCACTGGCCCTTCAATTTGCTCTGTGGGTGACTGTGCCAGGATTGAAGACAAACTTATAAGAATATGTTTGGTGAAGTATATATAAATTCACGAAGAAAAGTATCCGCGCTTTGTAGTCGTCAAATTCAATTTTGGAAGCAAGGACCAACGTTACAGAAAAGAAGGACCAGATTCTAATATAGGATTTAATAATCAGCTATAATATACACTTAATGTCAGATCCTGAGGGAAACAGTTAGTTTTGTTTCCCGCTCTCTATTAACGAAGAATTGAAGATAATTTTTATGGCCATTATATAATAACTATTATAAAGTTTAAAAAACCCTGCTGCGTTTATAACTAATAACGAAAGTTTAAAACTTAATACACTATTTTCAGGGATAGCTCGTGGAGGGCTCTTATTTCATGTAAATCTCTAATAAGTTTAAGGTATAAATTGTTCACTGACTCTTACCTTGCACCATGCTTTTTGATGCATTTAAATCTTTGTTTCGAGACCACTTCATCATGATGACAAATACTAATGTGGCAGCAGCAATTAGGAGGGTCATGGCTAAAGCAGCACACATAAAGACCCGCATTCGCCGGAGTTTTCTGAGGTCTTCTTGCACAGCATTCTCAGACACTGATGGGGTTTGTTCTCTTTTGATGTATTTCTGATAAAGATTCTCATCAACTTTCTCTTGTGTTGCTGCTTCTCCGACGATATCGTCATAGTCTTGATAAGTTCCTGTCTTGCCTTGGAGCTCGAGATAGATACTCTCTGGTTCATCGGGTGTCGTAGACGTTTTGCCAGTGTTGTGTCTTAGTTGCAAATGAGTTAGCAACACCTGGTTTCTGACTGTGACTAGTTACTAACACCTTCGCTTTTAGTAGCTAGCTGTATACGTTTCGTATGCCTCACATAAATGTGGTCGACTGCGTTTGAATAAGATACTGATGGTTTGCAAAAACAGGAACTAGAAGATATTACACTTAATTTCAAAGTTTACAGGATATGACGCCTGCTAATGGCCAATTTGGTTCTCTTTAATGTTGACCACATAACAAAAGGTAAGGGACGGACCATTAGAAAAGTTATGGGGGGGGGGAATTTTCGAGCCGCAGGAATTTTTTTCTTTAATGTTTCCCGTGAATGAATTTTTTTTTTGTCAAGATGTTGTGCACGAATATTTTTTTTCCTTGAAGTAACACTAAACTAAAAACATATTAAATCATTCAGTTGTTCGCTTAACCAAGGGCATAATTTAAATATAGGCTACCTGGGCACGTATGCGAAAGTAAATTGATACATATTCTAAGGTACAGTTCACAATAGCCTTTTATACACAAGGTATCCTGTATTGTAAGTGCATTGGTACTGCGCAGGTTCATATTGCATTGCTGAAATTTTACACGTAAACAGCATTATAAATAAGGCATTCTAAAAGAGTGTACAGTTGACTCTCTCTTATCGGACACCTCTATAAGACGGACACCTCTGTAAAACGGACACCTACAGTTGGTCCCTGCCTTTCTTTACTCCTTTTATTTGACTCTTTATAAGACGGACATCTCTCTAAGATGGACACTTAGTACCGGCCCCAAAGTGGTCCGTCTTAGAAAGAATTAACTGTGGCGTTCTTAAAGGATACATAAAATAATTTGTCCAACCACTATCTGACGCAATATAGACACAGTGGGACAGGAGAAAGCCAGTTGGAGTAGATGGGACATTTGCCGCACATTTTTTGAGTCCCTGGCCTTTATTGTGCCTCTCCCATAGTCCATCATAGTAATTCCAGGTGCCATTAATGGTTACAGCTCCTCTATAGTGCCCCCACTATGTTGATAAATCAGCAGGGGTATTTTGCGGAACGCAGGACGTAGAACGGTATATAGTGACAACCTTAACAGTAAATAAAAGCTAACCATACTTCGAGTCAGTGCTTAACGCTAATGACTATAATCATGTCTTAGCCCTAATCACTATTTTCAGTGCTATATACTGCTGACCATTATTCGGCGTTCTGCGTTCTGCATTCTGCGTTCAGTGTTTTGCATTCTGCAATATACCCCTACCATTGATAAATTATGATATATTCTTACCATATTGATACGTTAAAGTTTTTGTTATAAAATACAATTATGATGATGATATTGTTATTATCAAAAAAATTGTCCAAAAATGTGTGGTAAAAATAGATAAATTTGACCCAATGTTAAAAGTCTTAGGCTGCTAGTCTGAAAAGAACATGTATCTTTGAGTTGGTTTCATTTATCTAAAAGGACCGCCAACAACTGTAAAAACAAAATCTAAGAAAATAGATTTTTTTATTATTATTATTTTTATTTATCTGTTGCTTGTTAGAAGTACCAAGAAATAATATATATTCTGGGTGTTTCTTTCGATTTGCGGGGAATACTCTGATTATTGTTATCTATGGTATTTAAAAGAAATGTTTTGTTCCAGATATTAGATATATATATAACACAAAGTAAGGAAATGATAACCTTATAAGATGTTGATTTTTTATAATACATAGAAAAGTATAATTAAATTTATTTAAAGTTATTTAATAATCATATCTGAAATTGCCAGCTATTAAAATTTATGATAAGCTTACAAGCCTCAGATATATTTTTTTTGTATCAGGTATGATTATTAACAAGACCAAAATTCAGCAGGAAGTTTATTCAAAGGTCCGATGTTTTGCACACAGTATGCTTTCCTGCCTGCCTTCTTAAAATTTGTGCAAAATGTGTGGAAGGCCAATGCAGGAATTGCACGAATTTTTTTTTTGCACTTCGTCCCCCCCGCCCCATAACTTTTCTTCTAATGGTACATCCCTAAATAATTTACATAAAAGGGAACCGGAACATATAATTTGATTTCTACGTGTACCGGAAATGACTTCATCTTATTGCACTAACTTGCAATTACAGAAACGCTAGATGGTTTTGATATACGTAACTAAAACTGATTTTTATATATCATGGTAAAAACGTTGATCACACATTTTCAAATTTACGCAAAGCGACGATCGCATTGCCGTTCCCGATCAAGTTTGACAACTTCAGTCGTTTCGATTACGGCGACGAAATCTTCCACGAAAAGGGTGCTGCACGTTGAGAGTTCTTTTTTTGCTTATTAAACCTGTTGCTTTCTATTTCCTCGCTACCATAGTTTTGTCTTTTTTTCCTGCTAGCAAAGAACTGTCACAGCAAGAGAAAAATGAGAGGAAGAAGAGAGACCTCTGCCGGCCCCCGACTGCCGTTTCCTATCACGCATGCGCTGGCGTTTCCTTAGCAAGCAGTGACGCGTTTGACAGAGGCGCAGGAGTGTTGTGAAAAATTCTTCGCGATAAAGAGATGCCGCGTACTCCGTTCGTAATCGTATAGCACCATGAATTCTTTAATGCGGATCGGGATCTTCACTCATCTCATAATTGACTGATTTACTGAGCGTATTAGATTTTTGGGTCAAATAAGCTCTCACTGCCAATCAAAGGAAAAAAATTATACACTCACATTTTAAAATCTCAATATATATAGCAGGAAAGTACTAATTGGTTCTACGTCTCCTACTGGAGACGAGACCGCCATTTTATGTGGTCATCCGAGCCAGGCAAAGGTCGGGCCCTTTGCAGAACCTTCCTATAAATAAAGGTGTTTAGCTGCTGTAATACCTCATGAAAGTAGAAACTCAGAAGAATCGATAATTCTTTAGTTTAAATTTTGGTGACGTCATGTGAAAACCATGAATATATCGCACAAGCCCCAATTCAAGTCCTGTCCTTACGAATCCTAGCAGGCTGAAACCGCATACTTGATTAGACTCGGAATATTTCTCTCTGGAGCAGTTAAACAAAGAAAAAAAAAAGATGCACCTTCGGTGAGCGGATTCACTGCTTGTGCGTAGGCGGAGGGCCTCAATCATGAAGAGCTACGTAGAGAAGAGACGGGATCTTCAGCAATGTAAGGAGAAAAAGTCACAATTCCCTCACATTTGTAACCCCTTGCCATTTGAAATTGTTTAAGAATAATTTCACAGTGGCGGATCCAGGGAAAGGGCCCGGGGGGTATATCCCTTCCCCCTTATTTTTAGATCAAACTGAGGCCCTCAGGGCCGAAAAAAAAATTTTGGGGAGACCGCCTCCCCCCCCCCCCCTACTTATCTAAGGGTCTGGATGACCGCTCCCCCTCCCCCTACTTATCAAGGTAAACTGCTTCACGTTCAAACGATACTTCGCATTGTTACAACGCTGCAACTCAATAACAGGGTTTAAATAAATCATGTAGTCAAGAAAAAGGCTATATTTTGACTTCACCGGTTGTAGAAAAAAACCTGCTCATTCGGAAAGGGCTATACTCAAAATTACGTGGAGCATTTCTAAAATTCCAAACCTGAATGTCGCTGTATTTATTCCTTGGTAAACCATTGCGCTTTCAGTCAAACCTTCTGAATTGAACCTGTACACTCCAAGGCCGGTTCCTTTCGTTTCACAATTAACTACCTTATTTCTCCTTTGAGAGACCTTGTCTTTAACAGCAACGGCGACACTTCGTCTAGATTTCCTTTATGCAATAAAAAGTCGCGGCGGAATCACTCGGCTTTGCTGTTTCTAGCATAAGACGGCTAACATTTTGGGTGAATTCATTTGCAACATACGCGTATAGCTGTCGTATTTGCCCACAAAAAGGTCTTTTGTTTTTAACCTTAAAAACAATAAAAAATTCCAGCAGGCAAATGCGACAGCTATGTTGCAAATGAATCCAGCCTATTAAAAAGATAAGACTCTGGATTAATGCCATTGCGCCACCTATGAGGGCATGTCATGGATCCTTGAAAACAAAAGAAAGAGTGGGCGCGATTTTCCTAAATGGGTCCCTGAGGAATCGTCACCAATGCAATAAAAGTTTAGCAGCTCTTGTTTATGCGAATTATCACAATTGCGCCCAGCTTAAGAGCCTGTTTACACGGAGGTGGGGGCACCAGATAGGTGAGGTAACATGTGGCGGGTAACTCCACCTATCATGTAAACGTGATCAAATTAAAATAAGAGATTATATGGACAGGCAGGTTACCCCAACTACCTGGGAAGCCCCACCTCCATGTAAACAGGCGCGAAAAGTTACTTGGATTAAGGAAAGTGTTTTCGCTATTTTTGGAAGAGACTAACAAATCTTAAGCTACTGATAAGGGTCAGCCGTAAAGTCGCGGGTCCCATGACTATTGGCGGGCTCACACCACACTGGGCGCCGACGCATTTTGCGTCCTTTGACTCTCTGGTTTACACCTGTAAGTGTTAGGGGACGTGCAAAGATAATTTACCTTCATCGCGACGTGATTTTGGGCTACTCTCCTTTTTCAGGAGCTGCACTCTAACTCAAGTTCTAAATTATTTTGATTCTAAAAAATATTGTAAGGTTTTAATCCAGCAGGATGTATCTAATGCAAGAAAACAAGCACGAAGTCGAACTGTTTCGAATTGCGCTGGAAGTTGTTTTGGTCAGTATGTAAATTACCTCGTATCCTTTCGAACTGAAATATCCTGGCTTTCTTGGTATCATTTTATACAATTTTTATGAAATCAGAATTCTTTTATGTAAGTTTAAGATTTATGACGAAAAAAACTTCGACGAAACGTTGCGTTTCACTTACTTATAAAGAAGAAAATAAACACTAGAAAAATAAAATAAATGAATATTAAATAAGTAAAGTCATCAGAAATTTTAACAGTTCTATATTACTCAAGTAGAGACAGACAATTTCATGATTTGTATAAGTTCATCATACCTCCTGTCGCGCATGAACAATTTAAGCCACAACGGTACGAACCCCGGCGCCCCTACCCTCGGCTAAATACAGCCAGACGCCGATTCCACCGCCAATCGAATTTATCTGGGCTATAATATTTTAAAAGATTTCCCAATCATGATTACCCGATCTTGCAAATAATGTAACAAAATTAGACCGCAACAGTACCACTCCATCTCGTCAGCTACGTTCATCGTCTAAAAATCTCCCTTCTTTTCCTTATTTTAATTTGAGAACATTGGCACCCCCCACACTCTCGAATACTGTGCCGTCTGACATTAAGAATAGCTCCTCTGTGTCCGTTTTTTAAAAACAAACATAAAAATTTCCTCAAATCATTTTTTTGGTGTGTGTACCCATTACGAGTAAATGTCACCAGTAAAAACGTGACGGTTTCGTTTTTCATGGTAAACAGACAACAAAGGCCGGCAATTTCGGCTCCAAATGATAAGTACACGCGAAGGAACTGGGACCAGTTTCAAGACCAACACCTCCTTGACCGAGAGAGGTTATAATCTTGTAATCGCGGATAAAATGTTTAACTAGACAAATGACAAATAAAATGTTTGTTTCCTTCCTCCAGGCGACCAGTGATAATTGCAGTCATCTATGATATCGCAATAGTATGCAACGTAGGCAATGCGCAGTGCAAGACAAGGGTACAGATGGATCGTCCGTGAAGTAGAACTTTTCTTCATATCTCAGACTAATAATTAACAAAGAGTTTTAGCCACTCCGAGGATAAATCTTGTTTATTATTATCTCGCAGTATAAAACTTGCTGTCTACATTATGAGTAGTATAAGGCGCATAACGTAACCTACACCACTTGAGGAGCTATACTTAAAAGAAATAAAAGGTCAGTACGAAACCTAATACGATCCTAATATACATAATGATAAGAATCTCTCGACTTAAAAAGCCAAGTTAGAATATTATTAAATTCTTATACTCTGTAAAACCTACGCAAAGACATGATGATATAATTATCTCTACTAGAAGCTTATTTAGAAAATTATTCAGTCTTTATACTCTCATTATCTCTTATATACCTAAGCGAGGCCATGATAATGTGGTTGTCTCTATTATTATTATTATTATTATTATTATTATTATTATTATTATTATTATCATTATAATTATTATTATTATTATTACTATTATTATTATAATTACTATTATTTCTGCTGATTAACGTGCATTGTATTCGATCGCGAATTACGATAATACATTAACAGTAGTTGACATTCTACTACAGAAAACTCTAATAATAACCAGTAATAAACCGACAGTGGAAACGATTTTTTTTTTAACGTGGCCTTAGTTTCTCGGTTTAGACAGACAGTTCCACGATTTTTACAAGTCCGTTGTCATTTGAGTTACCTCCATTCACTCCTGAACAATTCGAGCCACTACAGTAAGAGCCCCCTCCCCCTCCTGCTTGGTATGATTCTGTGCCGCTACCTCCCCCAGAGTAACCACCACCTCCTCCTGATGCACCATTATCTTCAGATCCCCCTCCACCACCGCCAAACCCTCCTACGGCCCCAGGGGGAGGCCCTCCGTTGTAGCCACTATTCATTCTTCCAGCACGACCACCCACCCAGCCCTGAGCACGGGATCCACCCCTTTCGCCATTTTCGGACGAGACCCTGGAACAACCTTGGCCTAACCATCCCGCACCTACTCCCCCATGCCAATCACCGAATGCGCTGTTACACTGACCAGGATTCCCTCCAGTTCCTCCGCTACGAACATCACTTGAATCTTTTCCAACGCTACTAGTGCCGTTAGTACCCGCCTGACCATCCACCCCGTTATACCCGTTAGATGCACCCCCCCCCTCCTCCAGCAGCTAACAAAAGCACGTTACTTGTTGTATAAACAAAGCTCCCTCCCCCTCCCCCAGTTCCAGCATTGTCCTCTACGGACAGTCCCAGCTGAGCTGCTGTCAAGTTAGTGGACTGTCCTCCTCTTATCTCCACTGAATCGCCCCCTCTTTGTCCCACTACAATATTCAGTACAGTTCCTTTATTCAAGGTAAACGTGCCCTCTTTGTATGCACCTTTTCCACCGTAGTAAGTTCCGGGATAACTTCCATAGTTTGTGGAGTGCGTTCCTCCTCGAGCTCCCCAGGCTCTGATTCGATAGCGAGTGGTTTTTGGCACTGTGAAAGTCTGAATGCTGCCGAAACGCCCTGCTCCATTCGTTGTAAACGACCAAGGAGCTGATAATGACAATGTATTGTATTTAATAATATACATGAAAACATTTCTTAAATCTGATTGGTTGAGAGCAGTCCAGTTTTTAGTAAACTGAAAACACAGTACAAAAAACGAGGAAAAATAATACAAAAAGAAGGGAATATAATGCGAATTTCTTAGAGAATGGAAAACTGTGATTTGCTAATAGACAATAGAAATCTGTAAGAACCAATCAAGTGCTGCAATCTACTGGCGTCCAAAGCTTTCAAGCAAAGCCAGGCAAGTCATTTTTTTATGTATATTATTAAAAAGTGATCATGCAACTTTTCTCATTCAATTTGGAATTTATTTGCATTCGTGTGTTCAAATTGCATTCGTGTTATGGGCTCATGTACTGAGTTTTGATACTTTTTAAAAAACACATTCATGCAAATAAATTCCAAATTGAACTCGAAGTCCTATGATTACCTATACTAATATTTGCGCTCTAAATTGTATTTAAAATAATTAAAAAGTAATATCAAAACCCATCAGTTGATAATCAGTTTAGGGTGATAATCAGAACTGAAGTGAGGACTACATTGTGGCAGACGAAACTTAATGGCCGGTGCCTGTTTGCGAGGAGTTAGCATATGCATGAAATCAAGGCTGTGGAGCCTACAGTTTCTTCTCGCTGAGATAATCCCTCATAATAGACCAGACTGATTGTGATCAAGGGCTCTTTAAGGCGATATTACTTGAGACGATTTGCAACGACAATTTTTATGGCGACAATGTTGCAACAATCAGAAACAATGTCGCAACAATGCTGCAACGCTGTGTTGCGCTAAAGATCGTCGTTGCGAATAGTCCGACGTAACATTGCCTTTACAAAGGGAATCAATGCCTCCTTAATGATATTGCCATTGTCTTTAAGATGAACGCTTCAGGCAAAGAATTCGAAAAGGTATCAGCTGTCAAGAGATTTTGAAATTGAATCAGGAATATCAAGACAATCGACCTAAAAACATTTCAGAAACAGGAGGACAATCTGATGCCCATATTCCGAAGCCCGAAGCGTGCGACTCGCATACTTAGCGTAAGCAATAGATCAGTTTATTTTTAGCATGAGTTTGGAATACTTTTTCAAGCGAAAATGGAAGCCCCGCTTCGTATGTGCGCGCATCCGATAAGTATAAGAAATACGAAAATAGAGCGTTTTCACATGATCGCATGGCGGCCATATTGGTGTTCCAAAACAATGGAACGGCCGTCATGTTGGCTGTTTCAAACCAGTCCTGTAGGAGTTGAACTCTTTTCTTATATAAAGCTTTCTTTTGTTGAATAAATTTGCATAGATGCTGGTCACGTATTAAAGTGAACACGCTCTAAAAATAAGTCACCATCATCAATACATCAAAAAATACTATTAATTGGTCTCCAGGCTTTGTTGACTAGAAAGTCAGTCTGAAAATCTACATCTGCGTAACCGCGGTAGCATGGGCATGGGTTCTTGAGTAGACTTAGTCACGTTTGGTAGAATCTAATTATTACTATAATTACATAATTGCTGCAATTGAAATTGATAAAAAATACATATATGTATGTAAAATAAAATAAAAGATATAAATCATGGAGTACGCATCAGCCGCACAAAACTTCAGTCTTCATGTACATACAACTTGCATAAAAAGAAATTACAATAAACATGTCTTCCCTAACTTTTAATTTTATATGTTTAATAATTACCATAGCACGTGATTCCATCACCGGAGGAACCAAACTTGCATGCACACAAGTGGGAACCAGCAGTATTAGTGCACGCGGCATTCACGTCACAGTTGTCAGTTTTGGTAGTGCATTCGTCTATATCTGAGGGGAGAAAGAAATTAAGTTTAAGGTGCATCCTTGTTATCGCGATGCGATAGTCTTTCAAAAGAGCTATGGTTCTCTTGCGTTTTAGTTCGTTAGGTAATCGTGCAATGATCATTCTCTTGTTCCTTGTATTTAAGAGTTTTCCATACGAGCTATTTTATAACTGATGAAGGTTGTGAAGACCAAAACGTATTCAGTAATTAATATGAATCGGTATATTTCAAAGAGGGGGGGGGGAAGGGGGGAGGGCAGCTTTAGTGTCAGCTATTACTGCTAATGAGAACCACTGGTTGTTACTTTTTAAAATGATATATCATGGATGGAGCAAGCATCACCCGCAACAAGCGACAGGATTAATAAATACATAATAAAATAGCTTCAAAAAGAATATAAGTCCCTCGACCAACATTTATGTCTTAATAATTACCACAGCAAGTGATTCCATCCCCGGAGTAACCAGATTTGCATGCACAAAGATGGGATCCTGCAGTGTTAGTGCACACAGCATTCACGTCACGAGAAAGATAACAGGTTTGAAGTGCATCCTTGTCAACGCGGTCCGACCTCTTCCAACCGAGCACTAAATTATTCATTTTTTTTACAGATGACCCTCTACAAAGCTTTTTTTAAGGTATCAGCCACCCTTCAGGACCGTCCGCGCGCGGATCGCTGTAGCGTTAGTTGTTTTTATAAAAACCCCTATAAACCATATATTTTTTAAAAGCTTAATAATTCTAGATTATGGATTTGAACTAACAAAAACGATTTACTTAAATGTGTTTCGAAATTGGAACGTTTTGTGTAAAAGTACACTTCTCTATAAATCATGTTCCACTCCCGCCGGAAATAAACGGAAGAAAACAATTGACACCGCATTCGCTTCTCAACACGTTCCACTAAAAAACCGTGTCCCAGATTTTTGACAAGTGCGTTTGTTTTTCTTTTATTAGCAAATGAAGTTGGGAAAGGCAATTAGTCAACACTCCCCGTGGAAAAAAAGCTCTAGCTTTAAAATGAAAAGGAGTATTAAAATTCGCAGACATGGTTTTGTAGAAGAGATATATGGCATCACTCTGGCCAAATTTTAGCCAAATTGATTGAAAGGCTGCCGACTTGGAGTTCAAAACGTACGAGTCGATCGGCAAAATTTGCGTTCGGAGATAAAATAGAAAATACATTTTTGGCGGCATCCTACCTGGAATGAGATTATAACACCTAAATCTTTATTCTGATTGATATCAGAGAGGGATCAATTTTCTCTAACAATAGGACTTTGACAGGTAACATGTAACAGGAACAAACTTTCGCGGCAAGCAAGGGAACAGTTTAATTCTCCGTTGGAAAACTTCCACTCTTTTACACCACGAGAAGCACGGTTTAATTCTTTCTCGAGCACAAGGTTTGCCTCTCCTTCGATCTTTTTTGTATGATCCGCCCAGGCGTTTTTGTCGATCGGCGCCAGGCCGAGGAAAGTAAAAAAACTTTGAAGCCGCCGAATGTCCACCACCGATTGCTCGAAGGCCAAGAACTGAGGCCCGGTTTATTTCAAACGCTCTGCTCTTCTCGGAAGAACTAAAAACAGAATTTTTCTTGTGCGACGGACGGCTTTCATTCTCGCACTGGATTCTCCAGGTAGAACCAAGTCCATGCTTAGTCGCTACATTTTCCATGACTTGGACTCTTCCCTGGCAAAATCGACAAGATACGGACTCGTCCAGTTTCTCAAGCAGCTTTTCGCTCGATACGATAGCTCGACCGCTTATTGTTTTCCACGTTCCATCAGCAGATGGGGTAGATGAGCTTAATTGGCTTTCTTCATCTGGCTCTTCAAGCTGGATTTTGGAGCGGCTTGCACTCTCATGATCAGCAACTGCAACATTTTCGCTTTTCTGAATATCCAACTCCTCGAGCCACTTCTCTTGCTGATAAAATGAGCCTTTGTCGCTCTCTGCCAATTTTGCGGCCCATTCTTTGTCAAACTCGCTCTTCGATTTCTTTTTCGCTCTCGGTTTCGATGACGAAATTTTCTTTTTTTTTGGCGGCAAACGCTAAATATCCACGGACAATACTAAAGGTTATAAACAACGCGAAGACAATTCGCACGTGTTGTGTCGAAGCACGCACTCGGTATCACGTTACAAGTTCACGGGCAAGTTAATTGATATATTACACGGGTATGACAGATCTTGTCAACGATCAATTAAGATAATTAACGAGAAAAAATCTTTTACCCCCGATATCTTTCGACAGAAATAATATTTTCTTCTAATTTTTTTTTTAAAGAAAGCTCTCAAGCATATCTATTTGAAAACGTTGAAACCTCAAATATGGAAAAATGGCAATTTTAAGGGTGGCTGATACCTTAAGGTGCCTGAACACAGTTTAAGAAAGATATGTTTGGAGAATTACTTAATTAATTTATGGGGTACTGCTTCTTTCTTGGACCTAACTAAAATAATTTTACATACATTAGGCAGGATAATTTACCGATGCATGATGTTCCATTTCCAGTGTATCCAGGGCTGCATGTGCAGTTATAAGACCCCTGAGTGTTATTGCAGAAAGCATTGGCATCACAGTTATGGACGTTAGTGGTACACTCGTTAATATCTGAAAGGAAGGAATTATAAAGAAAGTATTAAAGATGATGCGGGCAACCGAATCAACGAAACATAATTCCAATACTGCAGCAGAAACGATTTTTGATATACCGGTGCAGCTGTTTCATTTCCAGTATGCACTTGTTATATCTAAAAGGAAGGTATTTTCAGCAGAACGATGTCTATGAATAAAATAATAAGCCTTGGATAAGGAACGTTTCTATGTATGGGGTTCCTCTCTTTCGGACTTCTTAACATACAGTCAAGCTTCTCGTATTCTAAGCCACCAAACAAGACGCAAGTGTAAGTGGTCTCATACGGGAGGTGGCCGCTTATAAGATTCAAACAACAGGGTGCCTTTTCCAAGAAACAGCTTGTACTTTATCACATGGGCTTCCATAAGTACGCTGAGAGATATGTTTGGAGAATTACTTAATGCATTTATGGGGTACTGCTTGTTTCTTGGACCTCGCTAAAATAATTTTACATGCATTAGGCACGATGATTTACCGATGCATGATGTTCCATTTCCAGTATATCCAGGGCTACATGTGCAGTTATAAGACCCCTGAGTGTTATTACAGAAAGCATTGGCATCACAGTTATGGACTTTGGCTGTACATTCGTTAATATCTGAAAAGAGAGAATTAAAGTTGCCTGAACACAGTTTGAGGAAGATAGGTTTGGAGAATTACTTAATGCATTTATGGGGTACTGCTTCTTTCTAGCACCTCGCTAAAATAATTTTACATGCATTAGGCAGGATGATTTACCGATGCATGATGTTCCATTTCCAGTGTATCCAGGGCTGCATGTGCAGTTATAAGACCCCTGAGTGTTATTGCAGAAAGCATTCGCATCACAGTTATGGACGTTAGTGGTACACTCGTTAATATCTGAAAGGAAAGAATTATTAAGAAAGTATTAAAGATGATGCGGGCAAAACAGATCAACGAAACCAAGAGCCATAATGGCTCTTGACGAAACATAATTCAAATACTGCAGCTCAAACGATTTTAAGCTCCCCCACCCCCCAAAAAAGCAAAAACAAAAACAAAAGCAAAACATAAAAAGAAAAACGAAACTTGAAATGAAATGAAATAAAAAAAATCAAAGAGTTAAAATACATACATTGCTTTTTTTTTTTTGAAAAATCTATTGGTCATAATAATTTACCGGTGCAAGATATTCCATTTCCATCGTACCCAGGGCTACACCTGCATTTATAAGATCCCTCAGTGTTATTACAGAAAGCATTGGCATCACAGTTATGGACGTTGGCTGTGCACTCGTTAATATCTGAAAGGAGAGAATTAAGGCGCCTGAACATAGTTTAAGAAAGATATGTTTGGAGAATTACTTAATTAATTTTTGGGGTACTGCTTCTTTCTTGGACCTAACTAAAATAATTTTAAATACATTAGGCAGGATAATTTACCGATGCATGATGTTCCATTTCCAGTGTATCCAGGGCTGCATGTGCAGTTATAAGACCCCTGAGTGTTATTGCAGAAAGCATTGGCATCACAGTTATGGATGTTAGTGGTACACTCGTTAATATCTGAAAGGAAAGAAGTATTAAGAAAGTATTTAAGATGATGCGGGCAAACCGGATCAACGAAACATAATTCCAATACTGCAGCAGAAACGATTTTTGATATACCGGTGCATGCTGTTTCATTCCCAGTATGCACTTGTTATATCTAAAAGGAAGGTATTTTCAGCAGAACGATGTCTATGAATAAAATAATAAGCCTTGGATAAGGAACGTTTCTATGTATGGGGTTCTTCTCTTTCGGACTTCTTAACATACAGTCAAGCTTCTCGTATTCTAAGCCACCAAACAAGATGCAAGTGTAAGTGGTCTCATACGGGAGGTGGCCGCTTATAAGATTCAAACAACAGGGTGCGTTTTCCAAGAAATAGCTTGTACTTTATCAGATGGGCTTCCATAAGTACGCTGAGAGATATGTTTGGAGAATTACTTAATGCATTTATGGGGTACTGCTTGTTTCTTGGACCTCGCTAAAATAATTTTACATGCATTAGGCACGATGATTTACCGATGCATGATGTTCCATTTCCAGTATATCCAGGGCTACATGTGCAGTTATAAGACCCCTGAGTGTTATTGCAGAAAGCATTGGCATCACAGTTATGGACTTTGGCTGTACATTCGTTAATATCTGAAAAGAGAGAATTAAAGTTGCCTGAACACAGTTTGAGGAAGATAGGTTTGGAGAATTACTTAATGCATTTATGGGGTACTGCTTCTTTCTTGCACCTCGCTAAAATAATTTTACATGCATTAGGCAGGATGATTTACCGATGCATGATGTTCCATTTCCAGTGTATCCAGGGCTGCATGTGCAGTTATAAGACCCCTGAGTGTTATTGCAGAAAGCATTGGCATCACAGTTATGGACGTTAGTGGTACACTCGTTAATATCTGAAAGGAAAGAATTATTAAGAAAGTATTAAAGATGATGCGGGCAAAACAGATCAACGAAACCAAGAGCCATAATGGCTCTTGAGGAAACATAATTCAAATACTGCAGCTCAAACGATTTTAAGCTCCCCCACCCCCCAAAAAGGCAAAAACAAAAACAAAAGCAAAACCTAAAAAGAAAAACGAAACTTGAAATGAAATGAAATAAAAAAAATCAAAGAGTTAAAATACATACATTGCTTTTTTTTTTGTGAAAAATCTATTGGTCATAATAATTTACCGGTGCAAGATATTCCATTTCCATCGTACCCAGAGCTACACGTGCATTTATAAGATCCCTCAGTGTTATTACAGAAAGCATTGGCATCACAGTTATGGACGTTGGCTGTGCACTCGTTAATATCTGAAAGGAGAGAATTAAGGTGCCTGAACATAGTTTAAGAAAGATATGTTTGGAGAATTACTTAATTAATTTATGGGGTACTGCTTCTTTCTTGGACCTAACTAAAATAATTTTACATACATTAGGCAGGATAATTTACCGATGCATGATGTTCCATTTCCAGTGTATCCAGGGCTGCATGTGCAGTTATAAGACCCCTGAGTGTTATTGCAGAAAGCATTGGCATCACAGTTATGGATGTTAGTGGTACACTCGTTAATATCTGAAAGGAAAGAAGTATTAAGAAAGTATTTAAGATGATGCGCGCAAACCGGATCAACGAAACATAATTCCAATACTGCAGCAGAAACGATTTTTGATATACCGGTGCATGCTGTTTCATTTCCAGTATGCACTTGTTATATCTAAAAGGAAGGTATTTTCAGCAGAACGATGTCTATGAATGAAATAATAAGCCTTGGATAAGGAACGTTTCTATGTATGGGGTTCTTCTCTTTCGGACTTCTTAACATACAGTCAAGCTTCTCGCTAAGCGACCAAACAAGATGCAAGTGTAAGTGGTCTCATACGGAAGGTGGCCGCTTATAAGATTCAAACAACAGGGTGCCTTTTCCAAGAAATAGCTTGTACTTTATCACATGGGCCTCCATAAGTACGCTGAGAGATATGTTTGGAGAATTACTTAATGCATTTATGGGGTACTGCTTGTTTCTTGGACCTCGCTAAAATAATTTTACATGCATCAGGCACGATGATTTACCGATGCATGATGTTCCATTTCCAGTATATCCAGGGCTACATGTGCAGTTATAAGACCCCTGAGTGTTATTGCAGAAAGCATTGGCATCACAGTTATGGACTTTGGCTGTACATTCGTTAATATCTGAAAAGAGAGAATTAAAGTTGCCTGAACACAGTTTGAGGAAGATAGGTTTGGAGAATTACTTAATGCATTTATGGGGTACTGCTTCTTTCTTGCACCTCGCTAAAATAATTTTACATGCATTAGGCAGGATGATTTACCGATGCATGATGTTCCATTTCCAGTGTATCCAGGGCTGCATGTGCAGTTATAAGACCCCTGAGTGTTATTGCAGAAAGCATTGGCATCACAGTTATATATGGACGTTAGTGGTACACTCGTTAATATCTGAAAGGAAAGAATTATTAAGAAAGTATTAAAGATGATGCGGGCAAAACAGATCAACGAAACCAAGAGCCATAATGGCTCTTGACGAAACATAATTCAAATACTGCAGCTCAAACGATTTTAAGCTCCCTCACCCCCCAAAAAAGCAAAAACATAAACAAAAGCAAAACATAAAAAGAAAAACGAAACTTGAAATGAAATGAAATAAAAAAAATCAAAGAGTTAAAATACATACATTGCTTTTTTTTAAAAAAAAATGTATTGGTCATGATAATTTACCGGTGCAAGAAATTCCATTTCCATCGTACCCAGGGCTACACGTGCATTTATAAGATCCCTCAGTGTTATTACAGAAAGCATTGGCATCACAGTTATGGACGTTGGCTGTGCACTCGTTAATATCTGAAAGGAGAGAATTAAGGTTCCTGAACACAGTTTAAGAGAGATATGTTTGGAGAATTACTTAATTAATTTATGGGGTACTGCTTCTTTCTTGGACCTAACTAAAATAATTTTACATACATTAGGCAGGATGATTTACCGATGCATGATGTTCCATTTTCAGTGTATCCAGGGCTACATGTGCAGTTATAAGACCCCTGAGTGTTATTGCAGAAAGCATTGGCATCACAGTTATGGATGTTAGTGGTACATTCGTTAATATCTGAAAGGAAAGAAGTATTAAGAAAGTATTTAAGATGATGCGGGCAAACCGGATCAACGAAACATAATTCCAATACTGCAGCAGAAACGATTTTTGATATACCGGTGTATGCTGTTTCATTTCCAGTATGCACTTGTTATATCTAAAAGGAAGGTATTTTCAGCAGAACGATGTCTATGAATGAAATAATAAGCCTTGGATAAGGAACGTTTCTATGTATGGGGTTCTTCTCTTTCGGACTTCTTAACATACAGTCAAGCTTCTCGCTAAGCGACCAAACAAGATGCAAGTGTAAGTGGTCTCATACGGGAGGTGGCCGCTTATAAGATTCAAACAACAGGGTGCGTTTTCCAAGAAATAGCTTGTACTTTATCAGATGGGCTTCCATAAGTACGCTGAGAGATATGTTTGGAGAATTACTTAATGCATTTATGGGGTACTGCTTCTTTCTTGCACCTCGCTAAAATAATTTTACATGCATTAGGCAGGATGATTTACCGATGCATGATGTTCCATTTCCAGTGTATCCAGGGCTGCATGTGCAGTTATAAGACCCCTGCGTGTTATTGCAGAAAGCATTGGCATCACAGTTATGGCCTTTGGCTGTACACTCGTTAATATCTGAAAGGAGAGAATTAAGGTGCCTGAACACAGTTTGATAGGTTGTGGATCATAACCAATTATTGGGGTTTTATTTAAGACTCATTGCGGGTATAACGCTAAAATTTTGATTCAGCACATCAGACAATCTATATTTATCAGACATGACATTTATTAAGTTAAAAGTGAGACTTGGATTGTTGCCATGGCAACATGGAAGTTTGACAACAAGCCAAAAAATTTCAATTTATTAGGTTTAAGCAAAATTCAGTCATTGGATTTTCTTAGAAAATTGAACACAGCTTTCGATTAGTAACCCTCATCTTTTAGAAACCACTTGACCAAAATTGTAACGAACAGTTTTTTAAAATCTTCAAGAAAATAGCCTTTATGGAAATCTTGATTTTGTCACAAAACTCCTTTGTTGAAAAGATATTTTGACGCTTTTATTGGCTTGAGCGTGACATGAACAGGATTTCTGTCAAATTTCGTCACATTTTAATGAGTAGATTTAAAGATATTGTAGTTTATTTACGTTGCTTACGAAAGTACGCATGTTCAGCTCTAGTTCAACAGGCCCGCGCTGAGGTCACGTGATATGTCAAAGGCGACAAAAACATTATTTTCTGTTAAACTTTTTATCAGCCTTTCCTCCCTCTTTTTCTTTATGTAATGTTAAATTTGTTAAAATACACAGTAAAGGGATAAATCAGATTTAGAGAAATTGTGTTCAGCAACCTTAGATGTTAAGACAAATCAAAACAAACCCAAACAAATATTGCTTATAACGGAGCAGAGACGTAATTTACACTGCCCCCCGCCCTGTCCTACCCCGCTCCCCCAGTTTTAATAGCAATAATATATGGTCGCTTAAAAATGGAAATGCGTTGATAATTTACCAGCGCAGGATGTTCCATTTCCAGTATATCCAGGGCTGCATGCGCAGGTGTAAGATCCATCAGTGTTATCACAGAAAGCATTTGCATCACAATTATGGACATTAGTGGTACACTCGTTAATATCTGAAGGGAGAGAATGTATGAAGATAAAAAGAAAAAAAAAACAAATCCAAACAAATATTGCATTTTGCCTACACTACCCAGAAAGACACCCACCCAAGAATAAATGCGGGGGGCCTCTGGGTCAGCAAGGACCTCAAAACCAGTTTATTGCAAAATTACCGTAAGTTAACAAGACCGCTCCTAATTACAAAACGCCCTATGGTGAAACACAAACCTCGAAAGCAACTAAGACAACTAAGTACGACACTGTCGGATACGAAAACCCAAAACTACTTTGTGGAAAAAAGAGACCACCACCTGCTGAAATCAACTGCGGAGGCGACAACTCGAGATCAGAGGTACGCAAAAACATTTTAGCTGCAAGCAGAGAATTAAAGGGGTTTGCTGGATATCAGAATCAAAGCTAATAAAGGCAACAGGAAAAAGGGACTGGCACTGCATAGTGTGATGAACTCTGCAAGACGATTAGTTTAAGGTTTTACCAAGACAC